TTAAGCAGGTTGATATAGGTATAATCAAGACTGCGATCTGGCAGTGCGCATGTTTGCTGTATGGAAGGCAATCCAACTCTTGCGCTGGGTGTCAGGGGAATAACTGGCTCCATCAAGTAGAACATCCTCTAAGAATCATTGCTGCTTTGACCTTCATGGGTCATTGCTCATCACTTAGGACTTAGTAAGGTTTTAAGAACACAAGAACTTAAGATATCCTGCAGTAGCAGGGAAAAAAAGCCAAAGATGTGTGATTCTCTCCACAGAGCTGGAAACGCAGATTTCAGCTGGGTCAGCCTCTGGCATGATATGTGCTAAACAGGGCCGAGATGAAGAAGGGGAAACCAGTCATGCTGTGTGGAAGGAAACACACAGTAGAAGCCATGTATACTGTATTTGCTTTTGAGTATTTCTAGGTCAGCTAAGGCATAAGTAGCAATCCAACCCAGTGCAGAGCTAAATGGTGCTTTATGGCTGTGGCATCCTTTCCAACACCAAGCAACCTCATCGCAATGCTTGCTGGGACTCGCTGCTGAGAGCTGTGTGAGATTTCTTGTTTACTCCTCACACAGATGCTAATGTCAGCACAATGCTTACTTTGAGGTCTCAGCAGAGGGTAAATGTCTTAAGCCTTCTTATGTTATGCATGGGGTTCTTTGGGGAGATGCTGGTCAAAATTCTTCAGAGCAGCACAGTTTGGAAAAAAAGATTTGGTGAAAACCTTATTTGACTCATCCCTTCCACCCTGTTTCTATGAATCAGCCTCATGTGAGCATTGAGTTAATTAAGCAGACGCAGCTGGTCTGGCTCACAGTGCCACTGGTGGGTACTTCGAATGGCAGTAACTTCTATAAGGGAAAAAGGGATGCTGAATTTTGCTGAACATGCACCGTTTCTGCCAGCCCACCTGATCCCAGCATCATCATCTCTAAGAAGCTTGTGCTAGAGGATTTGGCAAATGGACACTCAGTTGTATGCTGCACTAGAGGACAACCTGTGGTCACTGAAATCCTCCTCAGGGACAAATTCTCACTGCTTCAAGGTCTGTGGCTGCTTTAAAAGTGTTCACCCACAGAGAAGATGCAGTGGTTTCAGCTCCCCTGGATTACTGACACGCAAGGGGCACCGCTGTGGTTTGCTCCACATACTTCAAAGCTTGGCAAATGTTTCTCCTTCACCTGCCTTATAGATCTGGGAAGAACGGGGAGATCTAAGCTGGGATGCATCTGTGCTGTGTTAGGAAACCCAGGGGGTGTGCTTTGGTCTGAGATCTGAATGTCTGTTCAAATGCAGTTTGAGCTGAATGCTCTTCTTGCTGTCCACACTGCAGATGACAAAGGTTACACGTGCAACCCTGTCATCAGAAATGCACAGAAAAACATTAGAGGCAGAACCTTTGGATGCCTTAACCATCACCCTCGTGTTCCATCTCCTGATACTTGTGCTTGTTGTGAAGAGATTCTTTGTTGTCTTTGCCTCATCCCTCTACCTCCAGATGTTCAGTTTTGGATGCAAATTGTGGATCAAAATTATAGACTTCTTAAGGTTGGAAAAGACCTTTAAGATCATCTAGTCCACCTACCACTATTACTGCCTACTAACCATGTCCCTGAATACACCACAACATGCCTTGAGCACCTGCAGGGACAGTGGCTCCACCATCTCCCTGGGCAGACTGTTCCAGTCCCCAAATACCACTCCAGCAACTATCTTTCGCAGAGCAAAGATGGCAACACAGTTAACCACAGTACAAGCAAGCATGTGGGAGTATTGCAGCCTTAGGCACGAGGCTATCATACTTAAAACTAATTGCCAACAGAAACAAAGAAGAAGGAAGGTAGCAGCGCAGCCAGCCCTGAGTAACTTGGCTTTTCCCATCTCATTTAAATGCTTTCCTATTATTTACTTTCATATCAATTTTGCTGACTAACTACAAATGATACAATCAAGGCTGCTTGCATTTACATCTGTTCTAATAACAGAAGTTGCAGGTCAGTCCCCTGACTCTGACCACCCATCCATATCTCTGACACCTAAGCTGATGCACTGCGATCATGCATCTCTGCAGATCCAGCCAAGAGATGCAGCTCTCCTATCTCTCCCTGGAGTAATGCTTCAGGAAGGCACAAAGGACAGCAGAAGGAGCTGAGATGGGAGCATATCAAATGGAATTTTCCAAGCTCACAGTCCAGAAGAGGGAAGCCTTTCATTGGAAAGTGTTCCCAGCCTAGGGATGCTATTCACAAAGTCAAGCTCAAATGGCTGACTTCCCCATGAAGGAGAGCTAGCATAATGCTTACTGCAATGATTTGCTATTCTTTCTGGATGGCACAGGCCTGGTCACCTGGAAACACTTTACCTCTGTGGCTGCCTGACAGAATAGCAGAGTAAAGCGAACAATCACCCAACCAACAAAGCAGGAAAGAAAATACTTTCCAGAATGAATTGGAGAAACTCTGTGGGTATTTTTTTTTGTGTGTGTGAATACCAACAGGCCCCTTGATGTTCAGCAAACCAAACTGAGGCTATTGGCTGGCATTTGTGCTACTGCAGTTACCTGCACTCCATGTGTTGAAAGGCTGAGTAGAGCTGGATGCATCCCTAGCTGCCTGCTCTGGTTGTGCACTATATGACTGTTGCTAACACATTTTGGCTAAATGCACTGAAGTAGACACTGAGCTGCTTGGGTTTGCTATAAGACAGGGAGGGGAATGCTTGTATAGAGGGTGACTTTGGGACAGATGCTCAAGTGGTCAGGAGCGCATGGAAAATGAAGGAGGTTGGCACACAGTGATGGAGAAGGTGATACAGAATCCCATCCTGCAGCTGGTGGCTGGGCTGTGGAGCTCAAGATGTCAGCAAACAGATTAGTGTAATAGGAAGGGAATTTTGTAGAAATCTGATTGGATCCAAACAGAGATTTATTTGTGAAGATCTGGAATTCAAAACAAAATGGAACAGCTTTTTCATTACCCATCTATCTCCCAGCAGTGACTCATAGCTCTGCAGCTTGGAACTCTTTCATCAACCCCTGCGAATTAATGCAAACTGACAAAGGTCAGTGGCACACAAACCAGATGGCTTAATGCAGGCAGGGAGCAGGAGACCTTAAACCTGAGCAGGGCTTAATCCTCTGACTGTGGAAAGGATGCTTTTGGTATAATAGTGGTAGGGATCCAGACAAGTGCCCTCCAATTCAAAGACTGGTCATATCCAGAGACCAAGTCAGGCAGTCTCTGGGGTATTGGGGTTTGGCCGTGTGCTTCCTTAGGATTTTACTGGGTTTAGGGAATATGTCTTTGAGGTGCTCTGGCAAAAGAGTTGAAAAATATATACAAGTAGAAGATAACCTATGCTCTTATACTACTACTTCATGCTTACTTAAAAACAGCCAGCCCCTGAGCAAACAACACTGCTGAATATACAGTCTTGAGCACTAAGTCAGGCACTGGTCTAAGGTCAGATCACTACAGGTGTGGAGCTCAAGACGCAGTGAGGGGTTTCTGTGCAGGCAGAACTTCTGCAGCAACTACAGCTTCTTCCCTGTCTCGATCCACACTCATTCTCCAACAGGGCAACAGTGGGCACCTTTGATTGCTGCAGCAAGTTTGCTCAGTAAATAAGAGGCTGAGAAATCTTGTATTTTTTCAGCACGTCTCCACCTGCTAATATACACCCTTAGAGTGAATCAGATGGGGCTGTACACTTTGTTTAAAAAACAAACAAACAAACAAACAGCAACCAACCGATGATTTGCTCTGAAGGGAAGGGCTGACAACTCTTTGCAAAGTTGCAAAGCAAAAGCATTCACTTTCCCCTTACTATAAGAGCACCCATCTTTGCACCTGCTCATGTATTTTACAACCTCTCCTCTCTCCTCCAGCCATCTCCCAGCAGCCTCCAGGCCTGGACAATTGCATAAAAGTACAAACTGATGAATTGAACGTGCACTCATGTCCATATTAAAATGCATTAGCATTACCTAAGGAAGCAAGAAGGCTGTAAGCTTTGAGCAGGAATCCTGATAGAGAAGAAAGAGTGTGTCTCATTTGGCAAGGATGGAACTAAGTAGGTGTGGCCAGTGAATGAAAAGAGCTTAATTTTAAACAATCATTATCATCACTACCAACACCAGGATTTTCTTAGAAGAAAAATCATACAGCTCATTGGTGTCAATAAATCCAGCTCCTGACTGAAAACAAAAAAACAAAAAAACCCACCAACAACAAAAACAAAGTTTAAATATTTCAGCACTTAGGAACTGACTCATGCTGAGCTTGAAATTCTGAGGTTTGAAGCAAAAACTCCAGCTATGCTTGAGTTTAATGAAGAAGTACACAGACTGTATCCTTAGGAGCTAAATTGGCTTCTGCTGCCACTGGGTTGGATTTACAGTTTTGCCCCAAACTTTTCTTTCTCTGTTACAAAAAGGAAGTACTCCTCCTGATCTTGCATGTAGGCGCCAACTTCTGACAACACAATGTCCTCTCAGAGAATTGCACACCCCAAAGGGAAGTGGATGCCTGTCTCTGACAGGCACACCCCACATGTAGGAAACACCTCTCCCAAAGAAACCTGGAAGTTTTCTCCTACAAAAATGTGACACAGCCAAGAGAACACACAGCTCTGCCTTAATGACATCCTACTGCTCCCATAGGTTCACTCATGTCTTGCTAAAGCAAACTTTCCTTCCCTAAGGCAGAACTTTTGAGATGAGAGCAGACACAAAAAGAGGGCAGATTACACTGGCCCAGGTAGGAAAGGGGGAAGCAGGAGTCTGGGTAGGACACTGAGATAAAACAAGATAAAGAAATACTGATATGAATAATGATGGGAGTTGTGGAACTGGGCACTGGCACAGAGAGGTGGTAGTGCCCCATCCCTGGAGACAGCCAAGGTCAGGGTGGTTGGGCTCTGAGCACCAGATGGAGCTGTGGGGTGCTAAGATTATTCTATGATTCTGTGAAAATGCATTTCCTCCTCATTTTTCCCCTTCCTACTTGAAGGATGGAGAAAGAATAAAAGATAGAGGAGAGGAAAAAAAAAAAAAAACTTTAGCCTTAGCAACATGGATACAAAAAAATGAAGTGAGAAAGGGAGCTTGCTGGAAAGCATTTCTTTCCTTTGGGCACTGAAGTGTTCTGACATCAAGCCTTCTGTCCTCATTAAGAAGCCCCAAGTCTAGCATTGTGACATCTTTATTCACACGCCCCAAGTCTTCAAAGCCTTCAGGAGATTTCCTTGGTGGATTTAACATAAAAAAATATCAGCAGATGAAACAGACCAAAAGGCAGCCCAGTGCATCCTTGTTTTAATTAGACCTTGGGTGGAGGAAGCGGGGGGGGGGGGGGGAGGAAGTGAGGAAGGAACAGAACTATTGCAAAGAACATTAAGGTGTGAATGCAAACACATGTATGCAATCCTGATCAACAGGACTCAGCTTTTCTTCTTTCATAAGCTTTTGGTGTAGCAGAAAGACCCCAAGTCTCACAGCAACAGCAATTTTTTTTTTTCCAGTCTCAAAACAGATCCACATTCACCTCTGGAATAAGAAATACTGCAGGTGAAATGCATATTTCAGTTGCCTAAACAAAAAGCTTGAAGCGTAACTAAAAAGCAGCAAAAATAAATATATATATATATATATTTTTTTTAAAAAAAAGAAGGTAGATGCAACAGAGAAAAGCTGAGCATTCACCAGCAGAATCCAGGAAGAACCACTGCAGTGGATCCTCCACTGCAGTTTGCTGCTCTTTTTTTTTGTTGTTGTTGTTGTTAAAATTTTCGTGTGAATTTCCAAGCCATTTGTTTGACTTCTGAGTCACTTCTGCTGCTTGAAATGTGCAGTGTGACCCACTTGGATATGCAGGTGATGCAGCATATTGGATGGTCCCAGTGGGGTGACAGCAGTTCTTCCTGCTCTGAATCTGCTTGTAAATTAAGTGAATAACTTTTCTCTTTATTATTTTTGGCAAATATTCACTACACTTTTTTTTTTTTTAAATTGCCTTTTCTGTTTACCACCCCTTACACCAAAACACATTCACTTGAATGCTTGTGAGAAGCAAAACCACAAAGAACTGCAGTGAAATTAATTTGCAACAGTTTCAAATGAATATTTATGAGCCTTCTCCTCAGCTTCTAGCCAGGCCGAGGACAAACTTAGCTTCTTCTTGCAGAGAGCAAATATCAAATAATAATTAAAAATTCAATTAAAGAAAACAGAACTTACACTCTATTCCTTTTAGGTGCTCTTGGGCCATCTCTGGTGATTTCCAAGGGAACTCCAAGCTGCTATCAGGTTTCCAACTCTTAAAGCTCAAGTTTTATAGGACAACATTAGCCAATTAAAAGCAACATCGCTTCCAGCCCCCAGGAACAGGTGCACTGCTGGAGTTCAACGGACAAGAACCACAGAATCATAAGGGTTAGGAAAGATCACCTGGACCATCACATCCAACCCCAGCCCACCCCCACCATGCCCATAGCTACATCCCTCAGTGCTACACCTCCACAGTTCTTGAACACCTCCAGGGATGGCGACTCCAGCACCACTGTCTGGGCAGCAGTGCCAATGCATTACCATTCTGAGAAGTTTTCCCTAATATCCAACCTGAGTTCAACATCTCCATAGAGGGCACACAGTTTCAGCATACAAGCAACATAACCGTCATCTGTAAAAATCTAAGAAACATATTTAAATTGTCAACAGCAACAACAACAAAACAAAAAAAAGAAATAAAAGCATTCCCCATTCCTGCCCATGTCAAGACATACTAATCTAGTCTTAATTAGAGCATTATTAACTAAACCTTACACCTGGCTCTATTCATTTACAGCTATTCCTGTTTACAATTGCACTGATTACTAACTACAGCAATGGACTGGGTTTTTCTTTCCAGCATCCACCACCCTCCTCCAATTTTCACTTTGCAACAAGCTCGCATTGGGGTAGGAGAAAAAGAAAGAGATCTATGCAGAAGCAAGAGGAGTGCTAGGAATACCAGCAGCACAGATGAGCTACCGCCCTCACAGAGGCAGATCCACCCAGGGACAGGGCAATAAATCCCCCAGCAGGCTCAAATTCCACTTAATTACAGAACCAGCTGATACCTAATAGAAATGAAGTGGATCCACATGCCTGCTCTCAATTTGTAGCCTGTGGTTGTGAGCCAGTCAGAAAAGTGGGGGTATTGATTTGATTATCTTGTTTGTCCACCTAGACTTGCTAGTTGCATCTGCTTTTCCCAGTTCAAATGAAGTGTTTTCCACTGATTAATTTTAATTTGTTTTCTCTTCAAGTGCAAGATTTGTTTTTTATTGACAAGCAAACATCCATGTTTGTAAGCACCTACAATTAAGCAGTGCCCCTGCGCTACTAAAAGCTAACACTCTCCCTGTTTTGCTGGAAGTACTTCATGCATCGACTGAAACCTCCTCTTTTGCCTACATAGTTTCTAGAAAATACCAACCTGCATCACACAATTACTAGTCTCCTCATGGATACATGCAGCCTACAAGCTAGGAAGAGCCTGACCTCCCTCCAGCCACATGTTTCCAGATCCATCTCCCCACCACTCCACACCCTCTGCCATCTCAAGGCAGTGCTGTACCCATTGAGCTGCTTTTATAAGAAGGCAAGGAGCACCAGCAAGCCCTTTTCCCAGCACCTTGCACCTCGAGCCCCTGGTTCCTGTAGGCATAAGCTGCCATGTTCTATTACACCAACATGCAGCTGTAGTGAAAGACAGCAGGAAGGGGTTAAAGGAAAAAAAGGCTCTTCTGAGAGTGCTGGAGATTTTACTCCTTTTTGAAAGCCAGACCTCGGGTGTATTTCAATTAGTGCCACAAATGCATTCATTTCAGCCTAGTTCATTAGCAAGTTGTGCTCCACTCAGTCATTAAGAGCAGAGAAATATGAGTAATAAAATGCCAGGCTATCTGTATTTTGCTTAATGCTCCTCAAACACATCAACAAGCCATAAATGCCAACAGGGCAAGAAAGTGCATAGTAGGAAGGGATTTATGCACTCACAAAACCCTCAGCTTCAAATTGCACCTCACCAGAGAAACACAGGGCTGCTCCTCCTACTGCTGGTGCCAGTGCCTGCTCCTCCCAAGCTTCCTCTGCAAAATGGAGGTAGGGAGCATCTGCAGAAGCACAACAAGAGATAGCTTCCATCATGGACTCTCTAGCTGATAAAAGCTTGAGGAATGAAGCAGAATGGAGAGTCTGCCTCTGGCCCTGTGACATTCCTGTTCCTGGTTGTTTTTGGGTGCAGCACAGGCAGAATACCTGTAACTTCAAAGAGATGCCACTTATAGTGTGACCTACAGCTCTTTGGGACCAACAGCAAAACAGGTGGTGTCACCAGTGAATAACCAGTGCTCCGCCCATTATCAGGTTTGCAGATATCTGCAGACATGCACATATCCTACCATCTGCTGCCCAGTGTCACTCCTGCATCCAGGATCCTTAGACAGCAGAATAGAAAACAGAATAATTAAGGTTGGAAAAGTCCTCCAGATCACCAAGTCCAATTGTCTACCTGTAATAGCACTAGCACAATGAGAAGATGTTACAAAAAGAAGAATGCTCACCTCTCTCTGAAGATCCAAGCTCACATTAAAACTCCCCAGAAGAGAGGTCTCCAACAAAAGATCCTTTCTCAGTGGCTGCCAGCCCTTAAATGAGGTCTAGGAGGCTCCACCCTTTCTGGTATCACAGGTGAATTACCTTCACCTGTGCTCCTAGGGCTGACTGGGTCTTTCCTCCAGGTGCTCAATCAGTGGTTCAGGCCCTGGCTTGGCAGTTCTCATACACTATCCATCTCCACCATGCTCATAACCATATTCCTTAGTGCCACATCTCCGCAGTTCTTGAACACCTCCAGGGATGGTGACTCCTCCACTCCCTGCCAGTGCCTTTTTGCTTTCAGAGAAGAAATTTTTTCCTTATATCCAACCTGATCCTCCCCTGGCACAACAGCAGCAGCAGCAGACACCACTGTGTTCCTGGCTGAAGGCACTGTGCTGCCCAAAACTTTTCAGAACCGTGCAAGTGATGAATTAGTTGCTTGCTGGAAGGGAACAGAGCCAAAAATAGCTTTCAGCTGGCCATGGATATCATCAGCTCCTATCACAATCAGGCTGGCCAGGTTTATCTCAGGATTATCGCTTTACCTGGGATTTTTAAATTGCCTCCAAACAGATACATAAGCACATACAAGGTGCTCATCTCAGCTAGATGCCTTGTTGGAGGGATGGAGCATCTACTGCTGGCTGCAGTGCTGCCAGGTCTCAGATGATGTCTCATGGAATGGAGCCCCAGCCTCAGCCTGACCCCCACAGCAAAAGGTTAATTTTGGTGGTGGGGGAAGATGAGCCAGCAAAAGGGAAAGGTAGAAGATGAGGTTGAACAGCAGGGTGCATGAAAAGACAGAAAGATTAATGGCAGGGACACAATCAAAAACAAAAGTTAAAATGGAAATGTTAATCATTTAAAAGAGGGTCTCAGTGGAATTACTTGCTTTATGGCTCAGAATAAAAAATAGAAGCGGAAAAGAAGGAGGAGAAGTCCCAGGAAGAATAATTTAGTGCTTTGTGTAATGAGCTGCCTTTCTTTTCGGTGGTTCAGTCTGGTGTCTTATCACTTACCCCGTGATTGACTGAGTCTTCTTTTTGCCTGCTCCTGCTGAATGGTGATTTGCCATCTGGTAGTCATAATTTCTTTTCTTTCTTTCCTTCTTTCTTTCTTTCTTTTTTTCCCTATATTCTTTTGTAATTAGAAAATAAATTACTTTTTTTTTTTTTTTTTTTTTTTTATTACTGAAAAAGGAAACATGTCTAGCATATTACTTACAGATGAAGGCTGGTGTGCACAAGACAGCCAGGTAGATGGAAGGGACTTGACTTCTCATTTGGACAGACCCTAGTCCATGTGCCACAAGATCCTTGGCTTCAGCAATGAGAAGGTGGGTGCTGGGGAAAGTTCTGGGTCAGGCACACAGCAGACAGTGAGTTTATTGAGATGTGTCAGTCTGTAGCTGAACAATGGCAAAGATGAAGGGCTGGTGGAGCATGATAGGAATGTGTGTCTGTGCATGTAGGATATTGGATGGAAACAAGTGGTCTGTGTATAAGGGCTATGAAGGCTACCGGCTTGCACTGAGCTTGGGATGGTGTACTGTGTTCAGTTTTGGGCCCCTCACTACAAGGAAGAAATTGTGGCCTTAGAGCATATCCAGAGAAGAGCAACAGAGCTGTGAAGGATATGGAGCACAAATCTTATGGGGAGTGGCTGAGATAACTGGAATGATTCTGTCTGGAGAAGAGGAGGCTCAGGGGAGACCTTATCGCTCTCTACAGCTCCCTGTAAGGAGGTGGTGATGAGGTGGGAGATTGGCCTCTTCTCCAAAGTGACAGTGATAGGATGAGAGGTAATGTCCTCAAGTTATGCCAGGGGAGGTTCAGGTTGGATATGAGGAAAAAACTAATCCTCAGAAATAGTGATGATACATTAGAACAGGCTGCCCAGGGAGGTCGTATAGTCACCATCCTTGAAGGTGTTTAAGAACCGTGGAGATGCTGAGGGCCGTTGTTGGTGGGCATAGTGGGGATGGGTTGATGGCTTCCAAATTTTATGATTCTATGATTCTGTGTTTGTTGTCTGGCCCTCCAGGAGGTTGATGTCCCCATGCTGCTCACCCACAAGGAACATTCAGCTCCACAGAGGACCAGTATTGGACTCCAGCTCTGCTATATTTCTATCTCTACCAGCTATGGAGGGAGATTTGAACTTGCTGGATACTGAGTAGCCTACTCGAAACATGCCAAGGCTGATCTTGCTAATGCCCAATTGCAGCCCCACCTCCCTTCTGCTGGTCGCTGGCCCCATCTCTGCAGCCTGTGTACTTGCCTGGGCTGCCATGCTCTCATTATACCTTTGTACAGCGTCAGTCCTCTCCACTCTCATTTCAGCTGCCTCGTCAAGGTGCTCCAATAATTCAAGTGATAAATAATAACAATAATAATGCAGAAGTCGTTTGAATTGAGCTTGATTGCTCCGTGGCTGAATTTGGTCTTGATTGACTGAAAGCAGCGCATGCCCCTCGCTTGTTATCTTGAGAGCCTCATTTTCTCAGCGCGTTGTTGCTTCTCATAGCCTCAAACTGATCTGGCCTCGAGGCTGCTGCCAAAATGCAAACCTGTTGTTCCCAGAAAGACCCCACTCTGCAGCATGATGTGAATTTACACAGGTAATGGAGGTAGAAAATGACATAAAATATCCCACTTCAGTATGGTGCCAAAAGAGCTGTGTGTTCCCCTGTTTTCTGGGCAGACTTACTGCTTTTGAGGGGGAAGATGCTAGGTGGAGGCCTTGGGAAAGGATTGATTGTTGCTGGTTAAACTGATTGCACGATACATTTCCAAATATTTGAAATGGGCACTGGCTATAACACTTGTGTGATGGGTTATATTGCAAAGACAGACAAGCAGCCTCTAAATGAGCAAAAGATCTAGTGAATACCCTTCGAGCTGCTGGACATCAGCCTCTCCCCAGCTCTGCTCCTGTGCACTTGTGAGTGTTCCTACTGTTGGTCCATGCTGTGCTTCCAAGGGAGGTGCCTATCTCAGCCATGAGTGGGGGCATTTGGTGGCACTTTACAATCATAGAATCAT